TGGTTTTCATTCTTTTTTTTCTGCTTCTACATCAGTCACATAAGCAAGGAGCTCCCGTCAGCAATTTCTCCTCATAATTACTCTGAAACTAGGGGAGGGAAAGAGAGGGCTTCTTCTGGGTTTAGAACCTCTGCTCTGAAGTGTTCAGGATACCCCAGCTCCGGAATGTTCTGAAGATGGGGAGGCTGCCCCTGGAGGCCCCAGGAGTGAGCGCCTGAAGGGCTTGCTTCTGAGCGAGAGTTCCCAGTGCAGCTCCCATTGACGCCGCTGCTCGCCCCTTCCTGGGACCCAGTGCAGCCAGCCGGGACCCTTCCCCCTGCGAAGCGCAGACCCAGCCCTGATGCACCCCCATGCTGCTCTGGGCAGCTCTTCCTCAGGAGCCTGGGGGCGCTGAGGCGGGGCCGAGAAGGGGACGGCATGCCGTGAGGGGGCCGCTCCTGCAGCCCGCTATCTTCCCCTCAGCCTTTCTGCCACCCAGAGATGGACGACGAGGCTCAGACTGCCGCCTGTGCTGGCCACCCACGCAGGCCTCTGGGATCCTGAGGATGGCAGGGCAACGGGACGGCAGCGGCCTCTGTCCTGCTTTGGCTGCTGGAGCTGAGGCAGGAAGCACGCGGGGCAAACAGGGAGCCCATCTTCCTGACTTCAGTGTGTGTCTTGGACATTTTTATAGAAATTATTGCCAGCATCAGAGGAGTTAGCATTTACTGCATGTACATTCCTGATTTCATTCAATCCTCACTACAAGCCTTGGAGAATGGGTCCACTATTATTCTCAGTTTTCAGATAAGGCAACTGGGGCTCAGAGAAGCCAGGTTATTTGCTCAAGGTCAATCGACTACTAAGTGACAAAGCCAGGACCAGACTCTTGGACTGCCTGACTCCAAAGCTTGTGCTCTTAACCACAGGCTGCTCTATGATCTGGGGAGAAAATAGTATTGGGAAGGGACACCACTCAGTATCACAACATCTGAAATACCGGAAGTAAACTTCATAGTGAATAAGCCCTGCAAGAAGGACTCTAAAGCTTTACAAGATGACTCACATGTACGGGGATAAGCCTCGCTCCTGAGTGGGACATTTTTAACACAGGAAAATGCCTCATGAACTTGTCATGACAGACAGGTTGATACGATGGGCCAGGATCTGGTCAGGAGCGTTACACTGTCTCTTTAAACAGTCTGTGAGGCAAGCGTAGACGTCATTAGCCCCACTTCATAGGTTAGGCAGGTTAGACTCTGCCCCAGGTCCCTGGTGAGGAGGGCTTGGAGCTGGGATTCAGTCTCAGGTCTGGTGATCTGCTGTCTGGGTGCTATGTGCTCTGAGAGGGGCACCAGATGTCCTTCCAAGTCTCCTCTGAGACTGAGATTTTTAAAAAAAGTTCTACATGTTTTTTGTTTGTTTTGAATAGACTTTATTTCTTAGGGAAGTTTCAGGCTCAGAGCAATACTAAACAGAAAGTACAGGGATTGCCTGCAGAGCCCCTGCCCAGCACACGTGCAGCTCCTGGCCCCACCCCCCAGCCCCCATAACCTCCCCCAGCACGGAGGGACATCCGTTACAGTCGGTGAACCTACGCTGGCACATCAGCAGCCCGAGCCTGCAGTTCACGTCAGCATTTGCGCCTGGGGTTGTACATCCCACAGGGCTAGACAGATGGATAAGGACATATACCCACCATTCCGCTCCGAGGGTTTAAATGCAGGTTGACGGCAGCTGTGCTTGAGAGCGGGATGGGGTTAAGGAATCACCCCGAGGCCCCTCCAGGGCCAGCCACACCATTAGACCACTGAGAGGCCCTGTCTCCTGGTGCTCGTGGGTAGCGCTCACTCAGGCAGCTGCAGGCTTAGAGGGCAGCTGACAAACAGCGTTTCCTGGACAGGGGAAGAAGCAGTCTCACCTCCCCAACAGATTCCCCCGGGGAAGCTCTGAGCATGTGCTCTACATTCCATGCTGTTGAAATCAGGGTCACATTTTCACTTAAAAACAAGTAATTGGACCTCTAGCTAATGGGAGGATTTCTACTCTGGTGCCAGGAATATTAATTTGACACCTGCAAATTCTTTCTGACAAAAGGGATTTTCAGATAAAGTCTGCAAGAAGGCGGTACTCAGGAAATAGCCACTTATCCTGAATAAAGGATGCCAGAAAGGCATGGACTACCAAGCTGTCACTGGGGTAGAACTGACGAACAATGAGACTGCAGAACATGGTGGTGGGCAGAGCTGGAAGTGCCTGTGCCCATCTCTTACATCATTAACACCTGGGTACACTGTCCCCTGGGACCAGTGGTGCTCAGCAAGGGTGAGAAGCACATGGGCTTATCATAATCATACTGTGAGAGAAACACATTTGTAACACAGATGACAAATCTTATGTCCCCAATATACAAAGATCTTCCACAAATCAGTAAGAAAAGTGGACAAAGGGCCTGGGGGCTGACAGGAGAGCTTTTGCAGAATATACACACCTCTCTAAAAATGGAGAACTCTTCTCAAGAATATGTGGGACAAGAGATGAAGGCCAGACATGGGAATGATGATACAATGAGACACACAAGCTCCCCACTTGCCCAGCTGGCTCTGATTGGGGTAGCTGGGATAACACCAGCTGAAACACAGGCATGATGGTCAAGTGATTAGGAAGATGAGCTTTGGAGTCAAAAAGATCTGGTTTTGAGTTTGGCCTCACAACTTTGTGTGCAAAGTACTTTATGTCCCTAGGCTGAGTTTTCTGAACTGCAAAATGGAAATAATAATGTTACATCCCTGTAGACTTGTTGAAGGTTCTCTGGATACTACAAACCAAGGGTCTAGCATAGCTCCTGGCACAGTAATTACTTTATGTAAGTTCGGTGTTATTAGTAGTATCCAAGACAATGGATGACCTGTGCCCCGAGGCCCCAGGCTGGATGTAAAACCCTCCAGGCTTAGTGTCTGGTTAAATTCTATTAGCAAAGGAGGCTCCACAAAGCCACAATAGGAAGGGGCCTTCTGGCTGTGGTCTGATCTGACTGATCGGCTTTTAGAGTCTTGAACCTTAGGGAGCCCCCAGTTGAGGTAGGGCTTTGGTTGGAAATACTTGGAAAACGCGAGAGGAGTTCTAGAAAGGAAGCTCCAAGAGAAGAAGGACTTTGTCTTGTTCATGGCTGTATTTCTACTGCTAAGTACACAGTATGTCCTCAAGGTCACCGAAGAGATTCAGGAGGGGACACTTAAGAAGGTGACCTGATGATGAAGCAGCATGTGGCAGAATCAGGACTCCCCACTGATTACTGAGGCCCCCAAATCCCCCCCCCTGGAGGGATGGGAAGGCAGGGACTCGTCACTGTGTTGTGATGATGCCTCCGCTCCGTCCCCACCAGCAGCTGTAATCCTCCTCTCCCCATTGCAGGCCCACAAATGTGTCCCAAAGCCCCGGCAACATTTGGCACTTCAGCAAATCGCATTCCCACAGCCGCAACCTGAACAGAGCTGTTTAATGGACTGCGTCTCCTCCTGCTCCCTTTAAATGCACACGCACGCAAAAACCAATCACAAGCCGACAGAGCTGGATGGGATTAAAAGGCGGAATTTAAAGGACTGAAAACTCAGCTGCTTCCAGTAAAGTCCTAGGGAAGGAACCAATCGGCAAAGTTCTTCTCTTCCTTTTTGTATTGAAATGAGGGCCGTGACTGTGCAGCGAGTCATTCCCAACTCAGGCAGAACTGGGCCATGTCCACCTGGGCCTTACGCTGCAGCCAGGGTGGTGGGGAAAGAGAAAGAGAAGGCAGTGTGTGTGCATGGAGCGGCCAAGGGCACATTCCCAGACCATCTGTGTTGGATTTTTCTGGAAATGCAGAGTACCTTAGAAGACCTAGAAATAGACACTGACCTGCCTGTCTGCATCTCTTTTAGCTTAAGGTCAGGAAGGCAAATTCAGGCTGCAGGGCAGCTGCCCTGCGCCCCACACAAGCCTGGTACCAGCCCAGTGAAGATCGAATTGCCTCATGCTACTGGAAGTTGTGAGCCACATCCCCCCTTATCTTCTCCCCCAATCCCTGGCCCTTGTCTACTCCCATGTTCCCTTTGGGCAGTTCGGGAGGTCTGTAGATTTACTAGCCGGAGGAGGGAAGGAGAGGGGCCGGTCAAGGTGCGGCTTGTGGCTGTGTGGGTGGAGGGAAGGGATGCCCCTTGGCAGACGGCAGTGCCCAGCTTCAAAACCTGCCCTTGGCAGGGAGGACAGGGAGCCCTGAGAAGAGCTACCTCACCCGAACTCTATGGAATGGAGTGCTGCTGAGAGCGGAGCCGGCACAGCTGTGCCCCTGCCCCAGAGAGCTGCAGGACGGAGGGTGCAGCTCTCCCTCCCCCTCCCGGGTAAGCCTCCCGGCTGGGGTTACTCCTGCTGCCCAACATCGGGGCCGGTCTCTCCCTTTTGCTCTTGGTGACCCGGACAAAGCAAAGCTTAAGGGTCCAACTTTAAACTAGACGTCAAAATGGAGTCCAGCTGAGCGAACAGAATACCACTGATGCTCACAGAGGGCCTGGCAGGGCCAACCTGGTACTTAGCATTTTCTGTGAGTCGTTTCATTCTTATCGCGCGATGTCCTGTTACTACTGCATTGAACAGAGAAGGGAACAGACGCAGTTGTGAAGGGACTTGCTCAGTTCAGGTTGCTAAGCGGAGTGAGACCTTGCCCTCGGGCGCTGACCCGCACTACCCCTGCTCTGCAGGGACAAGTGAGTGAGTTCCCGCACATGCCGGCTTCCTCGCCACATGCTGACCCAGCGTGCTCCTCAGGAGGGCTGACAGAGGATAAGTCCATATTCCCAAAGCCAAGAGCATTAAACACAGCTTCAGTCTGAAAGGAAGCACCTTACTAATTTGGAAGAAGAGGGCAATTTTTTGGGTGGTGACTAAGAGAGCAACCAAGCAAGAGCCTGCCGGCTTTGAGATCCCATCAGCCAGTCCAGCGGGGAGGCTGGGTGGCCCAGCACCAATGGAAGGGGCTGCTGACCTACCTCGTCAGACTCGTCCGAGAGCGTCTGCAGTAGGATGGGGAAGAGGCTGTCTGTGTGCCGGAACATCTGCGGGGTAGAGAAGAGCCATGCGAGGCACCTGTGAGCTTTCTCTTGCTTCAAGAGACTAGGTTCAGCCTGGACAGGGTCCCATTGCATGGACCTCCCCACAACACCAAGGGCTCCTCAGGCACCTGTCACTTTGCCTGCCAGGATTTCTCCAGAACTGCAGTGACAGAAACCCTATCCGGCAAAGGTAGGTCCTCAAAAACAAAAGTGAACCTGGAAGAAGATGCTGGCTTAGAGGACTACCAGGCCGATGGACCTGAGGGCTCACCTACCTTCCGAGGAGTCTTGATGTAGAGGTGGTAGAGCCATTTCAGGACGGCAATCCTGGTCATCATCCCGATGGCCATGTCACTGAGGTGGCAGTTTAGGACCTGCACAATCCCATCGAGGTGGAGGGTCACAGGGGCCCTTTCGGTGCTGTGGGCAAGACCAGAGAAGAGAGCCGAGCTGAAGCAGGTTGCAGCCCCTCCCACCGAGCCGCAGTACCACCCTGCCCCACCACCCGCGGGCAGAACCACACACACTGTCCTGGGAGGGGGCAGATAGCACACACCCTCGCATGGCTTGTGGAGGACTAGTTTCTCTCCCTCAGCTTCCCTCCTCCCTTTCCAAGGTTGGAGCCATGACAACCACATCTGGGGGAGGAGGGCCAGTCTGCTAGGTGCCCACTTACTTTCCCTTTTCTTTTTCCAGCACTAGCCTGGTTTGTGCTGGAGAACACCTCTGTGATGTCACCAAGCTGGGCCCCAGAAGACCTCAGAGCTGAAAGGCTGTTTAGCATCCTCAGGACTAAGTCTAGACCCTCTGCTGATAAAACTACCAATTGCTGAGAGTCCAGGGGATGGCCCTGGTAGCACCTGCAACACCCAACAGGTCCTTCACCAGGCAGCTGAGAATATTTCTTGAGTGAGGACAGGGAGGTGGCTTTCCACGTTGCCATACTCCAGGGCACTTAGCATGGTGTGGCCCCTGGTTGAGAAGCCTTGAGAGTTGCCCCTGAAGCTGTAACACTGAGCTGGGAAGAGGTAACACAGCCTCTGCCTCTGAGATACGAGCTTATTCAGAATGTGCTTTGCTCCGTAGGGCACAGGCCTCCTGGACCAAAGTCTTGCTGGTCTCTAGGCAAAGAAAACTCCTGCCAAGCAGCCCTGAGGAGGCTGGGCACAGCTGGGACACTGACAAGTCCTCTGCCCAGAGCATGGTTCCCAGGCAGAGGCTGCAGCCTTCAGGGATGGGGACGGCATGGGCAGAGCCTCAGGATGTCAGGGAGGGGCTCCCTTCCTGCCCATGCATCACATGTATTCGCCCAAAGACACCACAATGGGTGCAGACCAGTGGCCGCTCTGTACAAAGCGGTTTTCCAGGGTATTTCCAGGCTGCTCAATTATTCATTTGCATCAGGAACTCGAAGCCCATGTTTTCCTAATTAGCCTGCAGCCTCTGAAGCTCATTTGATGTCGATTCCTAAAGAGCCGGATTCTGGGCTCTTTACCGGCTAAACGGAACTACTGTTTAGTACAGTTTGATGATTCCCTATGGTGCTCATTTTGGGGGTGAGAGTGGGCACTTCTATCCTCTGCTGGCCAGGAGGGCTGGGCCTGAGAGTGACAGGGCCCAGAAGACCTGAGCCTCTGGGCAGGGTTGCTGCTGAGATTTCCCCGGGAGCCAAGTGGCTGGAAGTTCTGGGTCTTCCAAGGATATGCGAACAGCTGGGTTCTCCGGTGGCCTGAGACAGGCAAGTCCAGGGCGGCAAACCTGGGCTCCCAGTCAATCTCTTAATCTCTCTCTCACTGTCTAATAGAAACATAACATGAGCCAAATATGGAGCTTTACATTTTCTAGTTTTGTGTTAAAAAGTAAAATGTAACAGGTGAAATGAGTTTTAATTAGAATTAACCCAACATACCCAAAGTATAATTTTAACATATAACCAATATAAAAATCAACACATGAGTCACTAGTAAGATACTCTGTTCTTTTTTGTGTCCCAAGTCTTTGAAACCCAGCGTGTATTTCATGCCCCCCAGAGCGTAGTGGTTCACTCGCCACATCGCCTGTGCTCAGCAGCCACATGATGGCGGCCGCCCCACAAAGAGCAGGTCTACAGCATCCGGCTGGCAATCCGCCCCAGGGCTTCCAGAACATTTACTTTTCTTCTCTGACCGTTTGCTAGGCACTCTCTCTCCCCTGCCAGTGGCCAGGATTTACTGTCTTAGCTCCAAGGCCTTCTTTCCCCATCCTGCTGGCCTCCTTTGGGCCCCCTCTGGCACGCTCCATTGTCACTCTCCCGGGGCCAGCCACCTGCAGCCCGAGGCCTCCACAGAGCAGGAGCTCAGAAGGCAGGGGAACAAGCGGAGGCTGCCCCACTTCCTGCCCAGCTTTCCTAACCTAGTGAGCCTGAGATCCACGGCGAGTCCCTTTTCCCAGCAGGAGCTGTGCAGTGTTCCAGGTGCCACGAGTACCCTGTGCCTGGCAGGTCACCGCCACATTGTTTTTATCTCCCTGGGGGACCCTGGACTGCCCTGGCCTAGCAATCACCACGTCCTGAGCTGCTGGTGGGCAGGAAAGCAGTGCCAAGCCCAGCTCCCTGCAGTCCACTGTGCGGGTCAGGCCCAGTGGCGTTGTGAGCCTGTGCGGGGTCACAGTCATGGAGTGGTGGGCTGGCGATACGACTGCGAGCAGCCTGAGTCTAGAGTGGCCTCAGCCCTGCAGAGCACTGCCTCCTCTCGGGCCGGGCTCAGGAGAGTCTAGGGCAGCAGCATTTCCAGCTGTCCCCTGGCAGGGACAGCTGAACGGCAGCCCCTGTGGAGACCGGCCACTCTCTGCCTAGGGCAGACCCGGCATCCGGTGCACTGGAGGAAGAAAGAGGCTGTCATACACACCTGTCAATGCAGTTTCTGGTCAGTAGGTCAAAGTCTCCACGTGGGGTGGGAGAGGACACCAGGGAAGCCTAGTGCAGATCTGTGCCAGGGGCACTCCAAATCCCATGGCCCCAAACAGGGCCCCAAGATGACAGGCTACACAGTCCCTTGGCCAGCTGGGCTCCTTAAGTCACAGAGCCCCAAGATGCTTCTGGCCAGCTCAGTGTCTCTACTGGGGGAGAAAGCAAGGGCCAGTCCATTTGGCACCTCTCTCGGGTAGCACCGTGTCAGGGCCGAATAACAAAGGAAGGATTTCTTAGTGAAATCCTGGTGTGCAATCTATCAGCATTTTGTGCACTAACATTCTCTGACTTTCCCCCCCAGCAAATCTCTCCAGACATGGGTACCTAAAGACTGCTGGAGACGCAGATGTCATCTTCAAACAACCAAGAGTTTCATAGCTGAAAGGGATCCCCATGTTTCACATAATTCAATCCTTCAATGCAGATGAGACAGTATGGGACCCATCCAAGGCCATGGGGCCATGTGTGGAGAACTCATTCCCTTAGCCAGAGATGCTCACCCCGGGTCTCACTTCCCTTGGCTGGTTGGAGGTGAAGGTCATGGGAAGCAGACACACCTCAGAAAACTAAGACTGATCTTGATGCCTAGGAAAGACCTCACACACCTTTGAAAGGGCAGCTTTTGGCTGCTCTGCTGGGTGGGGCCAGCTGCTGTGTGCTGGGCTCTGGGCATGCTCAGTGGGGAGCCGGGTCTCAGAACCCAGGCCTTCCCACAGAGGGCATGCTGCATGGCCTGCTCAGTTCCTGAGCTGCAGGTCTGAACCCTGAGATGGGGTATCCTTTGCCCTGGCATACCTTCCCTAGAGAACAGAAGGGGGCTCACCACATTTTAAAATACATTTCTCCATCAGTTCCAAGAAGTCTAGACATCACTCTTGGGGGTTTCTGACTTATTTCAAGGTGTCTGCAAAACACCATTTCCACTGAGCATTTTCTCATAAAGCATTCATAATGAATGTCTTACATGTATACATACTATAGTTTTCAATGCATGGCACTCCTGTGGCTATTAAAATACCAATTTATTGAATAATGCTTCTGATACTACCAATAAATAATGGTAAGTCCCAGTGGTGCTCCTGGGGGACAGCACTTCATATCTGTAACGTCTAACTCTTCATGGTATTCCTATGTTACATCTCTAATCAAATTAGAAGAAAGGTAAATCTAAAAAAAAATTGTTTCTGAATTCAAAGTTGTTTTTTATAAAAAATCTTTACTACTTTTTTTCAATCAGCAGACGCTAACAGTTGGGAAGCACTGAATTCTAGATCTTTCTGGTGGCCTTATGCAGCCAGCCAGCACTACCTGGAGACCTGTACTGAACCTCCCTCACTGACGACACCATGGCCCTTGGGAAGCCCAGGGCCTCAGAGTGGAAGCCTGTGCACATGGCAACACCTGTCCAGGGCTCCCGTGTCAGGTGAGTTAGGGAGGCCGATATGCAAGCTCCTTCAGCTCTCCAACTTCGACTAATAAAGCTTAACTGAGTGGGCACGACTGCCATGAGGAAGCCTCCATTTGTGGGAGACAAAGCACTAGATAGTTTGCTCTTGTTTGATCTTTAAATCTGAATACAGTAGGATTTGGCATTGGCTCCTGAGTGACAAATACACACCAAGGATGGCACGGGCTCCAGTCAGGTGGTTCCTGGTGTGAGCATGGGAACAGGCCTCTCTGGGCAAATGGCACCTCCAGCTCCCAAAGGAGGCAGTGGAGTCAGACAGGCCTCCGCAGCCGGGCAGTTCCGTCCGATTTCTGCCTCCTCTGAGACCTCCCCTCCCCTCCCCTCCCACAGCTGCTCCCTGGAGTGGGACAATTCCCTGCAGCCTGGAGTATAGGGACAAACCTGCAGCAGGCTTTCCCGCTGCATTCTGGGCCTCTCCCTCCTCTACCCTCTCCGGGGCTACCCGAAGGTCTTCTAAATCACGAGTCTGCTCCTATCACTCTCACTTACAACCCTGGCTTATGCAGCCTTCAGAACCAGGCAGAGGGCAGGACACACTAGTCTCCTTGTATCTCCATCCAGATCTCTCCCCTGAGTTCCAGAGTCCAGGACCCAAACCTGTCTCCTTAGCCACTCTTGGGGTCACACTCAGAACCAGCCTGAACAGAGCTCTTGACTGGCCACTCACACACCCATTCCACCCAGTGTGGGAAAATGACTCAGGATGTCCTGAGTTGGCTCAAGCCAAAAACCTAAAAGTTTTATTTCCCTCATTTCTCTCCTCCCACTCCATCCCATCCATCAGCAAATCCTGTCAATTCTCCCTTCAAAACAGATCTCAAGTCTATCCAGCGTTCTGCCCCCTATTCAGGCTGAGCCTTGCTCCATCACACCAGGATGGTTGGGGAGGCCCCTAGCCCACCTGCACTCAGTGGAGTCCCTCCCAGGTCTGTTCTCTGTGTGGCAGCCCCCTGCTGCTCCTCGGCCCTAGACAACTGAGGAGATACTAGTACCACTGACCCTGTGGGACTTAAACATCAGCGAAATCCAGTGATGTGACACAGAGAATCTGGCACAGGAAGCACACATCATTAGCCTTTATTCCAGTGAGCTTCACCAAGCTAGCGCCGACCCACGCTGAGGCCCCCATGCTAACAATCATGGCCTTTCTGGCTCCCCACGAGAGAACCTTGGGGTCAGGGATCACACCCAGGGGCCGGATCTTTATCTTGGAACCTGTAGGGCTGAATGCAGGCAGGTGCTCCAGTGTAAGTGACAACTAACTGAAAACAAATGAATGAATGATGTTTCCTGGCTTGTTCAAAAAACTTGGGAGAGGTTCTAGGAGTAGTCCATGTTTATAGTCAGAACTGGCATTCTTTGAAAATACCAATAGGTTCTTCAGAGATAAGAATAAACTAAAAAATGGTATGAAGGGAGGAAAAATCCTAAGGGTCTGGGTCGAAAAGAGCCTCTTGGGGTTAAGCAAATTTTTTTCTTCAGGAGTGACGGATTCCCCAGGGCCCAGGGTCAGGGGTGAGTCCAGGGAGAAGAAACACTCTGTAGGAGAACCACCATCCATTTCACCCCCTGGGTGCCTCAGACAGGGACACAATGGAGACAATTCCCTCCTGGGGGTAGGGCATCACCCTGCAGGCACGGAGGGGGATGGAAAGCAAGGGAACTATCTCGCTGCTTGGCCTGCACTGCCCCCCCGTGGAAGGCTGCGCAATTACAGTCGACCGGGGCACCTCGAGAGCTCTATGCGCTATCAGATTCGATTACTGACTGCTTCGGACCGCCTCGAACAGCCTTCCCCTTGTCAGTCCTGTCAGCCTCACGCTATCCTGATAAACAAAGGGTTCTGGGCAAAGGAGTCTGTAAGTATCTCCCTGCAGTCACCATGCACTGTTATACTTCTACAACTTGTATTTACGGATCTTCAGGAGCTTCTAATCCCTCCCTAAAGCTACCAGTCCAGCGGAACTGGGTGGGCTCAGCTGGCTCAGTGTCCTCTAGATTCCTTCATCAGGCACCTCCTGTGCCATCTGTGGTGGCCCTAAGCAGAGTTTGCTTTGGGTCTTCACTGCAGTCTGCTGCACCCAGGAAAGTTCCAGGCTGCTCACTTTCCATAAATACCTCTTGCTGAAACAAACCACTTACCTAGCTGTAGTGAAGACACTGATGCTGCTACTGAAGCTGGAGTCACAAGAACCCTCAGGGCCTCCTGTGGAGAGTAAGAGGGACAAGGCATCATTCTGAAGGCTGCTGGGGTCTTTTGAATGAACAAGATCCCTGTTAGAAGGACACACAGACTCTCTAGTCTCCAACACCTTGATTCCAGCTCTTATAAAGGTATGTGGAACCCTGAGGACCCAATGCTCACTCATTCCCCAAAGCTTTGGAATAGTACTCATTGTAGTTATTTTTTTTTTTAAGTTTAAAATCCATTTATTGCTTACAAACTGCAGTCGAGTTGTTTCTCTTTCCTGCTCCAGCAAAAGCAAAACCAGCCCTCCTCTCTCCTCTCCGGTACTGATCCCCACTGTAGTTTTTAGGCAAGTGATCTCATAAGGAGACGGACCCAAGGCTGAACACACTTGAGGAATCTCACAAGTGACTGTTGGCCAGAGGGCAATGGATGTTAAAAATGACTTCTGGGATATTCAACATTGTTAGCCATCAGGGAAGTAAATCAAAACTGCAATTGAGATACTATTTCATACCCACTAGGATGGCTAAAATAAAAAAGAGATAATAAAAAGTGGTGACGAGAGTGTGGAGAAACTGGAACCCTTAGACTTTGCTGGTGGGAATATAAGATGGTACAACTGCTCTGGAAAACAGTCTGGCAGTTCCTTAAAAGGCTCAACAGTTAACACATGACCCAGCAATTCCACTCGTAGGTATATACCCAAAAGAACCCAAAACTTATGTCCACACCAAAACTTGCACACCATGTTTACAACAGCATTATTTACAACAGCCAAAAAGAAACAATCCAAATGTCTATTAACCAAGGAATGGATAAACAAAATGTGTTGGAGCCACACGATGAACTATTATTCAGCAATAAAAAGCAATGAAGTGTTGATGTGTGCGACAACATGGATGAAACTTGAAAACATTATACTAAGGCAAAGAAGCTCGTTGCAAAGGACCACATGTTGTATGAGTTCATTTACAGAAAACGTCCAGAGCAGGCAGATCTATAGAGACAGAAAGTAAAACAGAGGTTGCTGAGGCCTAGAGGATGGGGGAATATGGTGTGATGGCTATTTTCTTACATTAAAAAATTTTTTATTTTGAAGTAATTTTAGATTTATGGAAAAGTTTCAAAAATAGTACAGAATTCTGTCTACCCTTCACCCCACTGCCTATAATGTTAACATCAAACACATCCACTGTGCAACTATCAAACCAGGAAAGTAACATTCATACCATACTATTTAACTACAGACCTAACTGGATTCCACCCATTTTCCCATTCATGTCCTTTATTCCAGATCAAGTGTGGGACCCCCACTGCATAAACGTCCTGTTTCCTTAGTCCCCTCCAATCTAGGACAGTTCCTCAGTCTTTGATGAACATGAAACTTTTGAAGCCCTGGTCAGTTACTGTCTTGCCAATGGGTTTCCGCCCCAGGCAAGTTCGCTATGGATTCAATGTGACCAAAGAAATGGACAGCAGAATGCTCTTTGGGGTGAAAGGGTTATACCAAAACTTTATTTCCAGGTGTCAGGTCAGTCACTAGAATCCCGTTCACTCAGAGCGAGTCTGCATGCAGCAAGCCAGTCTCTGCTTCTAGGCCTCTCTGCACAGCTGTCCTCTGGGCCTCTGTCCTCGGCACTGCCACCATTCCAGCCTCTGCTCTGCTCGCCTGCAGCCTTGCAGCCCTGCCACCGTGTTGTGCCCAGAGCACTGGGTGGAGCTCTTTTTATAGAGCCAACAGCCATGTAATGCCCACAGGTGGGCAGTGAGCTAGTCAACCAGGGCCAGGTGAGAATCCTGGCCACAGGAACTCTTCATTTTATCCACAGTTACTTCATAGCATGTCTCTCCGACTGGGTTTGTCCCATTTTTTTTATGATTAGGTTGAGGTTGGGCATTTCTACAAGAATGCCATGGAAGTGATGTGCCTTCTCCATGCATCACATCAGGGATACACAATGTGTGTCTCATTACTGGTGCTGGGAAGTGGATCACCTGATTATAGTGGTGTCTGTCAGGTTTCTGTCCTATAAAGTTCCCATCTTTCTTTTTTGTTATTAGTAAATATCTTAGGTAAGGTATTTGAAACTAGACAAATATCCAGTTTTTTTCCTCAAACATTTCTCTACTAATATTAGCATCTACTGGAGGTGGGTCTTGCCTATAATAATTACTACTGTGGAGTTTGCCTAATGGTGATTTTCTATTTTCCTCTTTCCTCCTATCTCAACTGAAATTCTTCTGTAAGGAAGAGCTGTCTCTTCTCCGCTATTTATCTAATCTATCTACCTATCTACCTACCTATTTAGCTATTCATCCATCCATCCATCCATCCATCCATCCACTCATTTATATCATTATAGATCTATGGATACTTATATTCTGTGGGTTACAGATTAAAACTGTCATTATTTATATTGTTCAAATGGTACCAGCCTTGGCCTGTTGAAAGTCTCAAATTATACACTTATGTTCTCATTCTAAAACTTTACAAACAAAACAAAGAAAAGTAATTTTAACTTCAAAGTTACTTCACTCTTGTGTAGGTAACTATTTTAAAAGTTAGGCAAGTATCCCTCTCCATCTTTTTGCTACCCTAGTTTTTGTTTTGTAAATATAAGTGGAATCAGAGTATATTTTCTGCAATTTCCTCTTTCTACTTCATACTGTCTTAGAGCAGTGCTATTCCTTGTGGGCCATGAACCCTTTTTTTCCCCACCAGTAAATGGGGCCTTGAATTCCCACGATGAACGGAAAAGCTCCAAGCTGCTGCCTGTCCTCTCTAGTCCCAGAGGCCCTTTGGGGAATGGGGCAGAGCTTGGTGGGAGCAGGTGTGGGCTCGGCTTGCTGAGCAGCCTGGTGTCCGCTGGAACAGGCCTGGGAAAGGCAGGGAGGACATGTAGGGAGGCTGGGCAGGCCATCCTGGGAGGGCATCCAGGACTCCATGTTCCCCCTTACTCCCCCATGGCCTCTCTCCCTTTTTAATGTTAGAAACACACACATTTATAGATGAAATGATGTGATGTCAGAAACTGGCTTCTAATTAATTTCAATTGCTTCCTAATCCTCTCTCATCTCTCTCCCCCGCCTCCTTGTGCAGGATTGCAAACATGTCTCCAACACCCTATGTAAAGGGTCTGCTGAGTGGAAAGATCATACATTTTATATTTTAATAGGTACTGACAAGTCGCCTTTTAGGAAGGTGGTACCAACATATATGCACTTCAAGAACAGGAGAAGGGAAGTGTAGTCAACCCCCTAAAGCCTCACACAGGAGTATTAGTGATCTTTTACGTGACTGCCACATTGAGGAGTAAAGATGACACATTGTTTTACTTTGCAATTCTGGATTCCCAGCCAAGCTGCACACCTGCGGCTGCCCTTCCTATTAATTCCCTCCTCAGAGAACTGCAGTGTGAACAGCACTGTGAGCAGACTCAGGAGCCCCTGGAACTGTCTTGAGCCCTGGCTCCCCTTCTCACTAGCTGTGCGACCTTGGGCAGGTTACTTCACTTCACCTCCATTTCTTCCCCTGTATGTATAATGGGGTAACCCCAGAGTTCCACCATAGGCTTGTGTCGACAATAAGTAAGCTAATGTTTGTTAGCTGTTTGCAATGAAAAACTTTACTTACACCTGTATTTATTTCCTAAGGATGAATCCTGAAATGTTTAAAGCTTCTGACACATGCTGCCAAATCTACCTGTCAGACAATGGATGTAACTTGTTTCCTTTACCTTGCCTGGCTAGGAATGTCTCCGCTGTCCCCCCACCCCCCACCCCCAGATCCCTACAGGGAGCATGTATGTCCTTTAAAACCAGGGTAAAAAACAGGGGTAGGAGTAGGGGGAGAGTGGAAGCCAAGGAGAAAGAAAAGACCCAGCTCAAATAACCTGCCCGAAGCCTGGCCTGGTGTCCAGTCCTGTGACCACACCCAGTGTCACGTGATTATTCATCTGTGGATCTGTCCCCGATCAGTGCAGGCAGGTCCGGGGTCTGATACATCTTCATCTGGAGTGTGTACAGAAGGTGCTGACATACCCACTCCCATCAAAGCTTTGCAAATGGATGGATGCCATTACACACATGCCAGTGGCAGTGGCAAGCCCTCCACTGAAAACCATTTATGGCTCTGCTCCTCACTTGTCCCATGAACTGCCATCCCTGACCCTCTATGGCCCCCTGCTTAGAACCCACCAGGGGGGCCATTACCACCTGGGCAATACTGATGATAAAAAAGAAGGGAGCAGAGGCCCTGCCCCTGAGCACCTTGCTAAGTGGATTCCAACGACTTGACACTAAAGCACCTGTTACAGGGTGTTTGGCCTGCACCATGTGCTAAGAACTTTATATGCAAATCTCCTGTGTGGAACTCACCACCACACTATAGTTTTGGTATTATTGTTGTTACCTATTAATAAATAAGAAATTGGAGACTCAGAAAGGCTTAAGAGGCTTGTCCTAGGGCAGCAGATAGAAGTTAGCAGGGCCAGGACTTGCTGGCAGGCCATACTGACGCCAGTATCGAGGCCATGACACCTGAGAGAATCAGGGGATGTCATGGGGGGAACAGGGAGGACACATGGAGTGCCCCAGGAACCCAGAATCGGAAAAGGGCACTGCTGTGGATCCCCCAAATGGCGGGGCGAGGTGGAGACAGGCTGGGGGCAGCATGGCATAACTGAGGGCCCGCCCGGACCACAGCCCGCTGCTGAGAGGCGAAGGGCAGCGCGGGTGGGCACACATTTGCGCACACAGGGCCTGGCGGATGAGCCTCCCTGGGGTGGTGCGCTGAGGCAGGTGGGATGCAGCAACACAGCCTGAGTCATGGAGGGAGACACTAGGTGAGGGAGACCAGGCAGGAAGTTCTTGCCTTAGGCTACGTGGTCCTCCCGGGTTGAATGGGAGCAGAATAAGCAGTGGTGCTGGGATGGACTTGCAGCCTGGGCAGCTAAATCATCATTGTCTTGGCTTGCTGGGATCTTCTCCCGGTACCTTGGTAAAGTGCTAATTAGTTATAAGCTGAGTGCATCTAGAGCGTGTGTGGAAACCCAAAATTAGCGGTTGCTATCTCTGGGAACCACTATAAAGTAAGTTTGCATCTGATGAATGCTCTTTATGAGGCAATAAAATCCGAAATCAAGCTGCCTGCAAGTATCCTGGTTTACGATAAGATTCTCCTGAGAAGGGAGTTGTTTAAAAAATACTTAGAAAAACTATCTAAAATATTTAACATGCTGCATTGGCCGGGAATCGAACCCGGGCCTCCCGCGTGGCAGGCGAGAATTCTACCACTGAACCACCAATGCTAGTGTTGGCAAGTTCTTTTCAGCAGCTGCCACCACCCACAGAATAAAGCAGTTCCATCCCACACAGCTTGACTCGTTGCCACATAAGCAGAAAGGGTGGGGCTGGGACTGCTACTGTTGGGTTACACTTTGGAGGAAGAACCACTTTTTTTTTTTTTACAATTAAGATATAATCCATATAACATAAAATTTCATGACACAAAGTTCATCATTTTTAAGTGTACAACTGTGTGATTTTTTTGTACATCCAGTTATGCAAGTATCACCACTTAATTCCAGGGCATTTCCATCACCCCCAAGAAACTACGCATCCATGGGCAGCCAGTCCCAATTTCCTCTTTCCCTCCAACTCGGAAACTATTATTCTACCTTTTGACTCTACATAATAAGAAGTGTTAACTTTTTAAGTCAGTATAAAAAAATTCAAAGCTTCTGTGTGCTGTGACTTGTCAAGCCCAAAACAAAACAGAGCAAACTAAAAGAAAAACTAAGATTACTGAAGCCAAAAAAAGCAGGTTGTGGAATTAAATTGTATGATCTGAAATACATATGCCATGGAAAAAATATGCCACAATTATACTGATTGACTTTGGTAGGGATAGTCTTGCTTTATATTTTTCTCTACTTTTCAAATTGTCTAAAATGAGAATCAAAAAATGAAAAGATAGTAAAATAAAATAGTCATACATCAGTTAAAGTTGACAAAATATGTCTATCCCTAAGGTTCTTCCAGTTTCTCTCATTAAGAAAGCTCCTGCCTTGGGAGGTCCACACTAACTTTTCTCCCCACAGTAGCTAGCTTGTTTCCCCAAGTTTTCCTTTTCAAATTAGTGCCAAAAAGCTTCTCACTGCTGCATTGGCCGGGAATCGAACCCGGGCCTCCCGCGTGGCAGGCGAGAATTCTACCACTGAACCACCAATGCTCCAGCTGAGAACAATTCTGCTTCCAGCTGTTTTGCTGCTGTAG